TTATATATTTTAGAAAAATGAAGATTTACAACATTCTTAATCAATTTGAAAATCAAATGAAAAGCTCTCCTCTAACCTTCTGTTTGTATATAAAATTCAGACTCATGCAAGTATGTCTCATTTTTAGCTAGCAAAATTCCTTGGCAGTCAGCGACTCTCTTAGCTTTTTATATATTTAAAGGCAATGTATTTGTCCTTCAAGCTCAGTCAAAACTTTTTTCTTTACCGATGTACCCTCCAACAAGTGCAGTATGACAAATGGCAGAAGAATTGGAATTGTCATTGTCCCGAGAAATAACCGCGCCAACCATACGAAATCCTGGGAGCAGAATTAACTAGGGCGGGGGAAGGGAAAAGAAATTCAGCATTGGATTCACCTCGCGTTTTGATGCCTGGTGAAGGAGACGATCCTAAGAGTTGCAATACGATCCGTACGTATTTAAAATCAATTCTCCTCGTTTCAATGGAGCCCACTCCCAGATAACGATATTTCGGATTGCAGCCTGCGTGTGCTTGCTCGGAAAGAAGTCCCATTGAGTTCAGTGAGATTTACCTCCCACGTAAGCTTGCACGGGATGGCAGGCTCGCACCGAGTTCAGCGCACTGTCACAGCGGCGCCGCGCAACGACGGTGCCTCCGCTTCCCCTCGGCGTCCGTGCGGGTGGGGAAGGGCTAGGCGTCGTCCTTCGGCGCGGGCTGCGGACCTTCCGGCGCGCTGCCCTCCGCCCGGCCCGGCCCGGCCCTCCACCTCCAGTGCCCTCCCGGCAGCGGGCCGCGTGTCGCCGCGCTCGGACGAGCCGCGCTCCCGCAGTCGGGCGGCGCGCCCACGGCCCCGCGCCGTGCACCCGCTCCGCCCGGCCGGCCGAAGGCAGGGCCCGCCAGACCCTCGCGCACGCGCACAGGACGCGCCGGCCGGCCGGCCCTCCCTCGCTCCCCCCCCCCTGGCGTGCCTTAAAGGGGCAGGCCCGTCGCGCGCCGCGCTCCCCGCAGCGCAGCGCCGCGCCGCGCCGCCGGGGCAGGGAGGCGGGCCCCGCGCTGTGGATTGCGATGTGGATTCCCCGCCGGGCACGGCCCTTGTTTGTTCTCGCACGCCTCGGCTCGGCCGCTCGGGTCCCGCCGGCGTTTATTAATAGACTCCTCCAGAGGGCAGCCGCGGCAGCGCCGGGCGCGTAATTGATGGCCTTTTGCTTCGGCCCGGGGACTGCGGAGAGCAAACGCTTTCCCCGCCGTCCTTCGAGCCGGATCGCGCCAGCGCCCGCCGCGCCGCCGTGCGCACTCGCGGCCCGGCCCGCTCAAGCAAGCCGCCCCCGGCGTCGACCGACAAAAGAGCGACGCCGCCGCGCGCGCGCGCCCCGGCCCCGGCAGACCCGCGGGGGATTCACTCCGCGCTCAGGACGGCGGATCATGCACGCACATGCGCACTCCGGCAGAAGAGGGGTCTCCTCCCCGCTCCCCCTCGGGCGCGTTCAACAGAGGGGGCAGAAGGAAAGAGGGGCGAAATTCTGCTTCCTCTGGGGGAGGGATTGCATTCAGAGCCTCTGGGGAAAGCCCGAAGGGGGCTTCCCTTGCCCCCACCTCTTATTCCTGGCTGAGCGGAGGGATCAAAGACTGCTGGCGGCTCCTGGCCGTGGGGACGGCTCTTGCAGTGGCTGTGAGGAGCGGGCATTTGCTTCGGACAGGAGGAGAGACGGGGGGGGGGGGGCATCTCGGGGAATTTCGGCTGCTGGTATCCTATGTCCACTTATCTGGGAGTGAACTCGATGGACCTTCCTTCCGAGATGTTTCTGCGGAAAGGCTGCAAAGCTATACACACTCAATTGGGAGTCTGCTCCTGTGATTTATAAGGAACTTATTTTCAAATAAGTGTGCTCCTAAACTCCAGAGAGGAAAAAAATCAACCTCTTGGAGAAGAGCGGAGAGGCACAGAAATGTTCACAATCATGAAATCGTTTTGGATGAGTTGAACCAACAGGTTAAAAAATATCCGCCCAAGTCAACTTTAAAAAAAACTGCTGGCTTTTGTTGAAAACAATTGGATTAATAATTGCCAATAATTTAAACATACACACACGAATAACCCTAATAAATACCGTCCAGGCTTCCCAGTCCCTGAGCTAAAGTGTTGACATGAAGGAGACAATCGATAGAAAAACCTGGTGATGCGGAAGGGTGGAATGCCAGACCCCACCCCACCCTTGCAAAGAAACTCAGAAATCCTGCGGCTGCCTCATTTCCCCAGGGGAGGTGGGAGCAGGGCTGAAGGGAGAATTCCACTCCGGGAACGCTGCATCTTGTGGGACTCGTTGGAGTTCCCTCTTTCATCGTCGCTCCCGCTTCCCCGCGCTCCACGAGATCAGTCTGAATCAGGCGTGGAATTCAGGGCAGGCCTAGCCTATTTTAGGACTTGCCATATTTAACTTTTTACTTAGATTAGCAGAAAATACTTGCAGTGCAATCCCATGAATGTTTACTCAGAAGCAAGTTCCACTTAATTGAATTCGGATTGCTCCCAAGTAAGTATGTTACCCCTAGAGAACAAAACTCGCTTTACCTTTATTTTTGGAAATTGTTTTGAAAAGCGGGTGGTTTATTGTGCAAACGAGATCACGTGCCTGGGGTGTTGGCTCTGCGCATATCTAACTCCTGCTTAGTGCTTAGCAGCACTTTGTCCTAATCTGGGTTACGGAATGATGGGGGGTGGGGGACACACGACACGTGTGATCTGCGGGAGGCAATTGCCTCCTTGAGGACTACGGTTCTACCCCTGATCCGAATCTACTTCCTACCGAATCGGAGTGGGAGCGAGGCGTCTTAAGGATGGCCACAGCGAGACAGAGCTTTTCTTGGAACGTGAGCTCCGCGTGTGCTCGCAATCGCCATTGATAAACAACTTCAGGTGCCCGAGCCCTTCCGGTCCCCCGCCCCGGTTCTCTTCCGTCTCCATCCAAGTAACGGAGCGGGTGCGCTTGCCGGACCCAGTCTACCGCTCCTCGAAAAGAAAAGCGGGGGCGGGGGGAGCGAGGAGGTGGGGGGGAAAGTTAATGTGCGGGCCTGGCCCTCAGACACAGGAGACTTTATCTAGGATCTGCTTCTTGAGGGACAGCGCTGGAAGAGGAACAAAGGCGAGACTCTATTTTAGCAACGTTGCGGCAGATGGGTCTGCGCACCGCCCAAACCCAGGGGCTGGGTGGGAGTCCAAGCGGCAAACGGACGGGGACTTCCCAGGACTCGCTTGCAGGCAATTTACCTGTTCCTAATACATACGAAGCCTTTCCCACTTTATATTCCTGGTTTCTTTTTCTTTTTAAAGAATATCTTAACACTAACCACCCTCTTCCAAGGTCTCCGATGCCAACTGCCGGGAGCGTTGGAGGTGGCGGCGGGGAGGGGAGTGTAATTCATCTTGATTTACTTCATCCGCCCGCAGACATGCAAACTTTAATCCGGCATGATTTCGCGAACAAGCAGTTTGAGAATGAATGGGTCAATATCTCTGCGTGCCAAACACGAAGTGCGCGACCTTTCCACTCCGCTACAGATTGCAGGACAAGCCCTCCGAAGCAGGCACTCAATAAACCACAACCGCCGCCACCCCCACGCCCCGCCGGCGCTCGACTGGGCCTCGCCGTGCCTCTGGAAACGGCCTGCTCTCGTTTTCTTCTGAGCCTGATCTGAAAGAAGGAAGGGGGAGATTTGTCCCAGTTTAATGGACGATCCTCTGGTTTTAGAACAGAAAGTGGGAGGAGGAGGAGACAGAAAGCAGTGGGGACAGACGATATGAGACAAGGTATCTGACGATTTATTGATTCGCTTACGGTGATGATTATGCTTATTATTAAGCACAACCTAGCCAAAGTCCAGCAGTTACAGGTCCCAATATTTCAGTGGAAAATTCGCGTACAAGCCTTCCTCCCAGCTAAAAGTGCCCATGAAGGACTGCAGCCCTATAGTGCTATCCTATAAAGGACTCCTGCCAAGGAAGCCCACTGATTCCAGTGAGACTTATTTCTAGGACTGTCATTTAAGCATTTATTTAAATCTGTCCTGGAGGGCAGAAAGAGAGAGAGAGTGTGTGTGTATGGAGGGGGGGGGGGGGCTCTACTGTGTTGAGCTGCCGCTGGTGGATCAAGAGGTGTGGAAGCTGTACCTCTCTAATAACTCCCAGGGGCCTTCCTTTCCTTCTCTTTCTTGCTTGTTTCCATGGTTGCACTACTGCCATGTTTAGAATAAAACTTCAAGGCAACGAATTTGGGTTTTCTACTTGCAATTAACTTTTATTGTCATATGCCACATTTGAGGGCAGGGGGTGGAAGAGGGACCTTTGAGATCATCTTTCAGTCGCTTGCTATCCCCCTGTGCAGTTGAACTCATTAAAAGAATGCAGACCAAACTGTATGCTGAATATTTTACTCCCATGAAAGAAAACACATTTTTCCAAGTCTGTCTGAAAAGGAAAAACACTAATATTATACGAAATGTTATACACAGGGTATGTTTTACATTGCAATTGCAGAGTCACCATTGCATCCACCAGAGGTACTATTCTAAAACCGATATTCACACAATGGGACCTTTTCTTTTAATAATAATAATATTAATAATAATAATATGTTAGAAACATACAGTGTCGCATTTAGTATATACATTCCATTGCTCGCAAGCGGAAAAAAAAGAAAAGAAATCCCTAATCTCTTGTGTAACATGCTTTATTTTAAAGCCTAACTTTTAAAAACACTGTGGAGATATTACTAACAACTGCTTTTATAAAATTAATTTGACATTTCGATATATATATACATCCTTTCCCGTCATTTTCTCTTTTAATGTT